GCGCTCGTCTGATACCGAAGCGTTCGTTCAAAAATAGCGTTCGTTCCAACATTTGAATATTTATCCTCCTTAAGTTGTTCAAATACTGGCATCAGTTCATTTAATTGGGCAAACAGAGAGTTACGTCCGTCCATCCAGTACTGTATTTAGACGTTCGTCCTATTTCTTCAAAGGACTGAACGTCGTCCTTTTGTACTCTTAAAGTTAAGATGAGATTGATTATGAATTATGATAAATTACAGTGCGAACGTTATATTAAGTGATTTTATGATTATGGAATTTGAACGAGCGTTCCAAGGAGGAACGTCTCAGATTGGTTAAATATTAAATTGGTAAGTATGACTGTGTTAGCTAATTCTGGCTTGGTCCATCCTGATATTTCCGTGATACTCATTTCACGTAGAAGGGTAGTCACTGTGTGGGATGGCAGGAAGGTTCTATTCCTTAGGGGTACTTTGGATAGGGCTAACCTCGAGTGGCAGCTGTTGAGTGTATCCCAGTTACTACATCACTCGGGTTGCAAGGACGCCTGTAGTCATGGTTCATACAGTCCGACAGTCGTCTATTATATCTTATAATTACTATGGTGGATTATGTTCAATTGTATGTTGTGTGCGGTGTTTTAAAATGTGAATGTGTACTTTGGATGTGTTGATTAAATATTATAGCTTAACCCTTTCGTTTTCCGGTGTTTGTCAAGTCCAGTACGTTCGTCCTGTCTTGCATGACCATCCTTGTGAATGTGAGCAGATGTGGTACGTCCCTTGAAGAAATGCTGGAAGAAAAATTGGAGGAAGCAAATCTGGTGGAGGTAGAAGTAAAGGCCGAGCCTTAGAGCGCTCGGTAGATCAGTTTGTAAATGTTTAGTTTATTTTTTTACGTTCGTTTATATGTTTTGTAAAACCGTTCGTTATTAGCGCTCGTTGTTTGAGCTGTATATTGTAACTCTGCAACCTAAGCCGTCGGCTTTTGAACTTGGTTAATTGTAAAGACTGCTTATTTACTGTTAATTGTAATTAATTCTCAATTTATGTTTACTATATTTTGGGATGTTACAAATATCAAGCTAATTAAATTTTATTTGCTCCACTATGAATACCAATAATCTTTTTAGGTCATTCATTAATGATATATTTTTTTGAAAAGACATTAAACCTATGTTAATGTGTACCTAAATTGTCTCTACATATTGACGTTGTTGATAAAACCTTTCTTCGTATATTATAATTTACAACATTAAAGTATTCTAGGTAATACAAAAGTTTTCAAAGTATTTCT